TGAAACTCAGCCAGTAGTGCAGTAATATATTTATACAACTAATATCATTAAACTTTTCATTTTCATCCTCTCTTGCTTTAACTTACAAGTTTCTTTAGAATGAAATCCACTCATGAGGAGCCTAATGGTTTCTTACTTTTGCCTTCCTGTTGTGATAGCTTTTAGAGATTCCCTATCATCTTTCCATTTAAATCCTTCATGGGGCACCTAAAACCAATGTAGAACAATTATGGTCCTATGTAAAGGTTATAAAAATTACATTACTTAATTGAAATGTATGTAATCAATAAGTGCTTAAGTATTTATCATCATAATGTTATTATATGTAGTTTTATATGTACATACATATATATACAATAAATATATAATATTGAGTACTTATAATAAAACATATATCCAGGCATTAGCAAACATATAATTAGTAATTTTTTCAATATGTTAAAATACTTATTACAAATAAAGACAATTTTTTATTCATATATTTAGATTTAAATGTAAAATTTAGTCTGTGGGTCAAGTGTGTTAATCAAAATATTTAACAAAAAAAAATACAGCATGAGCTTTCTACAATTGAAATGGAGGCCTACTACAAATAACCTGTATGGTGATACCTGCTGGTACTTTTAGAATATCCACCCCACCATTGACCTTCATTGAATGATTCCTGCCGAAAGCAACAAAAACCCAGGTTGATAAGTAAAAGAATTAGCAACCTAATGTATATTGTTTCATAGAAGAAGTGTCTGTTTTGTAACTCTGATAAATGTAATTTTGGCTTGAAATTTTATTTTGAATATACGATATGGTTTAATATGATCACGTTTGATTGCTCTGGAAGGTTTGAGTTGACATTATTACTTTTTTAATAGTGGCCAGCATTCAGAAGCTTCCTGCAGCCTCTGTTCTGACAGACATCAACTTCCCAATGAAAGGACGGAAGGGAATGGTTGACTGGGCAAGAAACTCAGAAGATAGAGTAGTCATTCCGAAAAGCATTTTTACTCCTGTGTCATCAAAAGGTATGTATGTGAGATAACTTAGGTTTTGACAACATATTTCTGATAAGTTCACTTAATAAAAGTCTATATCATTGTATACTTGAAACCCATCTGGTTTTATTAACCCATGTCACCCCAATAAATTCAATAAAAATATTTTAAAAGAAGAAAATATTCTTAAACAGGATGCCAAGTATAGTATTCCATGGAGCCTAAGGGGGAAAAAAAGAAAAGATAAATATTTAAAAAAAATTAAAAGTATAAAAATAAAAAAAAGTCTAGTCATAAATCTCCATATATTAAACAATTTAGAAACAGTCACTATACTAATTTTGTACAAGAGAAAACTTAAATTTGGTCTTTAAATCTCTCAATTTATTGAAGCAAGGGATCTATTTAAATGGGAAAAAAAATACAAGTGCAAAGTATAGACCTAAGCTTGACATGGTCAGGTTTCAGTATTGACAGGTTTATCCCATTGGAAAGCCTGAGGCTTAATGTTTTAACTTCAGGTAATGACAATGTCTTGCATTTTCCAGGCAAAGTCATTTTTATTTCTTCCACCTCACATTTGTTACGGTTTGAAAATATTCTTTTGGTCTATAAAAACAGATTTAAGAAAAAGTTAAGTTTTAAGAACATCTTCGTTAGTCTCTAAAATTAATGTCATTTTAGACAGTGACATTGTGGTCTTAATTCTTACCTTGGAAATTTTGACCTCATGACTTAGAGCTGCAAAAGGAGAATTGGCTGTCTTTCCTCATATCTTTGGGACTTTAAACTTAATAGCTATAATGAGAGTTTCTTCTCTTAACCTGATGAAGGAAGGTTACTTCAAAGGGTGGTTATTTTCTGAGCCAAACCCACTAACAATACATCCTTTAGAGCTACAGTTAATGTGTGGAGTGTGGGGAATAACCTTCCCATTCATGGTTAAGAAGACATTTCTTTTACCCAGCTTTCATCAGCAAGTCCTGGGATCCCCTTATAATTAGTAGATTAAAGTTTTATAAGACATAGCATGCTTCTTGCTGTTTTACTAATATTTTAAAATTTTATTCTTTCTAGAATTAGATGAGTCATCCGTATTTGTTCTTGGAGCAGTCCTGTACAAAAACTTAGATCTAATTTTGCCCACTCTGAGGTAAGCTGCAAAGTAATAAGCTGTTGTAACCTTTGTACATTATTCCAAAAAATGTAATCATAGCTCATTTTATGAAAGTAGTCTGACAAGCTTTGTTAATACAAAACCCTTTTCCTAAGTGAAATAGAAAATACCAATTTAAGGAACAGTTTATTAGCATACTATGCATTTCAAAACAATTAGAAAGGATGATTTTGGTCTGTGAGTATAGCCCTGCAATTCTTTTGTGACTAATCTTGACTTGTCTTAAGACTGAGGAGGAGATATAAAAAACACCTCAAGTCTTTATAAAGGAATGGTTTGTTGTAAAATTAATGTATTCTCTATTTATTTGTACATAATGGTACTGTTCATAAACACTGCATAAAATTAAAAGAGTGTCATGATGACTGGGAATACATGGTTTTTTCCTTCATTTGCACAAGATCTCAATTTGTTTCTAAATATATACTCAATTATAGTTACATTAAGAAAAATGCTATTGTTCAATTAGAGTACTATTTTTGGAAGAAATCTTTTCATTTCTTTTTTTCCCAGTCATTAAAGAAACAATTACAAATAGTAACTCTACCAACATCCATTTGTTTTATCTATTGCTGTAACTAATTTACCTAGTCTCACAGGAGGCATCACTTGTATCTATTCGGATGGTTATGTTACCACTCATGATGACCTGTCTCCTCCATCACGCCTCATTTTCAAGGACTGAGATAAAGTTGTATTTCAGTTAAACACAGTCACAGTTGCAGTGAGCTCTTACTCATACCCTCATGAATACAACTTCACATTTTTAGGGAGGAGAGACTGTGAATGATGTGTACCATTATACCAGCGGTATAACAAATGGTCTAATAAATAAAACCAATTAGAGTTCAGTCCAGCAGAAAAAGGCCCCCCAAAGAAGCAACTAGGTTTTTGCAGCTGCAGTGAGGAGTCACAATTCTTTGGGGAAAGTCTATGTACAAAATTGCAATATAGTTGGTGAGTCATTAAGAGTCCCACTTGAGACAATGCAGGTTCTCCTTCATCTACAGAGACATTTATGGAAATTTAGTCTCCTTTAACTCTCTTCTCTGGGTGGAATTTGGGCTTTCTGAATTTGAATAGGTTTGTATTTGGTTTTGTTCTACTCATAACAAGTTATCAAAACTAATAAGTTTACTCTCAACTTTTCCACTGGCTTTATTAAAACACATTGGTATGTACAACTACCCACAGATAAAACTGATTTATAGTGGCACTGACTCTACGTTTGTGTATGATGTTCATTTGAGGGGAAATGAGCTGAAGTTACAAGTAACCAGACACTCTATGTTACATACTTATTTCCACAGTGAGTTCACTTGTGTGAAGTTCACCTTTCAAGAATTTGAGACACTTCTTTAAATCAGACGACTTGGGTTTTCATTCCAATTTAAAATAACCAAAAAATTTATAAACTTGTCCAGTCGCTGAATAATCATCTACCTTCAGTTCAACTTTAAAAATAGAAGCACTTCATGTGCAATTTCACTCTACTTACTGCTGAGGGGTATGGTGAATGCAAATAAAATATTCACCATAAGTGATTTAGACTGCGAATGAATTTCCCCACATGACTAACAAAGTTGTGTTGTGATTCATCTTGTTTTGTGTTATACCAGAGCTCAATCACCCACACAAGTAATATCAGGTCATTCCAAGTTTCATAAACCGATACAGTCAAGGGAATTGGAAATGTATCTAGGGATATCAGCTTTTTGTAAAAAGGAAACACACTTACTTAGCATTTCAACATTGTTTTAAAAGCATGGCGGAGGCAGAGGTCACTACAACAGGTGGGTAGATTAAAGGATGTATTATGGGTGATTTCATGGATAAAGCGGGGAGCCATTTGGAGCTTTGAATATCCCTTAATATCCCCGTGAGACAAAGAGATTCAGATTAGCCTTTGAGCAAGTCACTAACTAACTTTTTTTTTTTTTATAAAGTGGGGTTGACCGCAAAGGTTCTTTCCAACTTCAAAAACCCCCTGTCCTTATCACAGTAAAATTATGAACTTTTTAGAGTTCTGACATATTCCTTAGCTTTAAATCCTTGATAACCTTTGAATAAGAATTATAGCTATGTATACCAACTTATACTTTCTGTGAACAAAGTAATTAGGTAAATGACTATGGGAAATCAATATTCACATTTAGATTCATTGACCAGGAATAATGACATAGCAAGCTCAAGATGAAATATTTAAGTACTATTTGAAAAATGAAATATTAGCATTTACTTCTCATTTTCTTTTCTTTTGTACAGTAGAATAATCTAAGTGAGCATTTTTAGACTTATTATTTTTTCCTTTTCAAAAAGTTGTCCTACACAGTTTAGTGAGTAATTGTACCAAGTATAGATCTTCTACATAGAGTAAGCCTTTTAATGGGCAAGAGAGATACCTTGTTTTATAGTCATTCAATAAATATTTACTAAGCAGCAACCCTGCTAACCTTACTATCTTAATTCTTTCAAATTTCCTGAAAGGTCAAAATTCCCAGAACAATGCTTAATAAATTATAAAGGTACAAGAAATGCTTACTGGAATAATTGTCCTATATGATAGGATATCCCATATCAGCCATTTATAAAAATAGAGTACATAGAAATTTGGTGTTTAAAATATATTACATACATCTTGTTGTTTATTGTCTAAATTTGACTGAATTAAACCCAATAGGTAAGGCAATATCTTCTCATTCAAATTTAAAAAAATATCTATAAATTTACTCTATATGTTTACTTATTATTTACCAAATTTCCATAACACACTTACCTCAGTGATCATCTTACTAATTATCTGTTGACATTTTCTCAGCCAAGTTTCCCATGCACAGAATAATGTTAGGATTCTGTTAAGTTTCCAGGGATTTTATATTTTGATATATTCATTTTCAAAACAATACTTTACATAATTTTCCTCATGGGGACTAGAAAGAAGAACTTCATGTAATGTTTTGAATAGATATAATTTAAAATTTTTCCTTCATACAAAGACATAACTAACTGCATATTGACTCTTTTACTTAAAATTTTCTTTTCTTCTCTTGCCCTATTATACATTTAGCTATTCTCTTTGCTGCAATTTTTATGTTACTGCTTGATCATCTTTCCTTTTACATAAAGCATATTCAAATTATCTCTTCAAATGTAGGAAATACGCTCTACTCAAGTCCAAACTAAATATGTGCTGCTATTTTCAGCCTCCTACTTTTATTCTTCTTCAGAATAGTTTCTTACTGTACCGGTTTATGAAACTTGGAATGATCTGATTTAATTTGTGTGGATGATTGAGCTCTGATGTAACACAAAACAAGAAGAATCACAACACAACTTTGTTGTGATTAAAAAGCATAGAACCAGTGGGTATTAATGCGGCAAGGCCCTTTAAAGGTTAGTACCCACCAGAAATCTAATTTTTAGATGAAAAAACTGAGCTCCTTATTGCTTCAGTGACCTGCCCAAGCTTGTATGTCCAGGAAGTGACTAGTTCTAATCCAACTCCAGTATTCTGCCTGCCAAAACCAAGACTCTCCTCTAAGAGGCTAGCATCCATTCCTTTAATCAGTACATCCATGGGCCTGTATATTAATGTGTACACATATGTATCTTCTGCAGAAAACCTTGTAAGGCCCAGGGGGAGGTGGCCATGTGTAGGCAAGCTCAAGGTACTTTGGGTTCACCTTGGTGGCCCCAACTCAAGCTACTGATAGAAAGGCTAGAGGCTGTCACTCTTCCCACCCACTCAAGACCACTTTTGGGCCTGACAGGTGAAGGCTGGCCAGCCTAGGTCAGAGGGATAGTTAGGGGGAGGTGAGGGCACCTACACACAGGTCCCACTCAGGTCAAAGCACTAACAACCATTCACAACCTGGCAGGCACTTAAATTGCTGGTGAGGTTTTTAAACTGTAATAACCTTTTAGTTTGTCAATATCAAGATGCTTTAAAAATGCATTGCGATTGATACAGAAATGCCACTTCTAAGAACTGATCTTATGGAAATTATCTCTAAAGAAAAGAAGGTGCATCCAAGCATACACTTAAGCCAAAGAGGGCAAGAAACAGTTGTAAACAATTCACATTCTGATTCATTTAATAAAGTCAGGTTTTGGGTTTGTAGGAAAATCACAATACTTTTGAGTGTGGGAGTAATGTGTACTTTGCCTGGTAAGACATGGAGAAGATGTAATCCTGTTAAAAAATAATAAGCATTTTAATATAGCTATTAACATTCAAGATATTGTGAAGGATCTAATTAAAATTATATGCAAATTCTACTATTATTAAAATGCCAGGAAAAATACAGCTGATCAGAAAACAACCAGTGGCTGTTGGAAAATTATCTTTTAAAAATGAACAAATTCCAATAATGCAAAATCACATGAATTTGCTGTCAAGTGCACCAACCTAATGGAGATAAATCATCCTGAATTTTTTCATATTTAGGAAATGGAATTCATTAGAGTTTCCAATATTATGGGAATTAAAAGCAATCAGGAAAGCAATTGTACTAAGTAATATTGAAAATAATAAAGAAGTGAAAACAATCACTTTTATGCCAATACTTTCTGAAGGTAATCAACCTGAAGTAGTCAATTCTCTCAACTGCCCCTGTTCTTCAGTTTTAGGATCTAATCTTTGAAACTTGCTTCTACATTCTGAGTTTGAAATGAAATATTGTAGTTTTGTGATGGTCTGTAACTTGTAATAATGTCCTACCATGAGAAAATTAATATCATCTATGAGGATAACAGTTTGCTTGGCTAATGCTTTTAAATATTTTAGTATTATATATTCAGTATATTATTTACAAGAATCTGAATTTAATTTAGCCATATCTATTAAAAGTGAGTTTAAATCCCTGATTACTTAGCTTCTTTGTAGTCCTAAGTGTTAACGCCCTTTAGCAAACATAATTTCAAATTCCATTTAGTTTTCAAAGCTCTGTTAGCCTAACCCTAAACCTACATTTTAG